GGCGCACGGCACACGGCACACGGCACACGGCACACGGCACACGGCACACGGCACACGGCACACGGCACACGGCATGCGTTGATTACCGATTGGGAGTCATCGAGAGACTGCTCGTCGATGTAGACCGATGCGGTGTCTTCAGCGGGAGCGGCCGTGTTGCTGATCCTGAGCGGGGCGTACGGAATTGTTGGTCGTCGTGGCACGCGCCCCTCCTCGTCAGTGCCCAGGGCCGAGGCTGCCGTGGGCTCGGTGGAGGTGGGTCGCGACCGCGCCCCTGGTCGGTCGTCGACCTTCAACGAGTCGGTTTCCATGTACGGCGAGCTGTAGTTGCTCAGCCTTTGGTTGGAGCCTGCATTGTGCGACAAAGAAATGAGTGCACACGCACGCACGCGCGCGCACACACACACACACACACACACACACACACACACACACACACACACACACACACACACACACGACAGGCACCTGAGCGCTTACCTTCTTCGGGGAAGGAAAAGAGAAGGTCCGTCGGCGTGAAGTTGATCATGTAGGCCGTCAAAAAGAGAATCTCGCTGGTGTGCGATACCAGCGCTTGCAGGCTCGCCTCGCCCTCCGTGCGCATCAACACCGGGCCTAGGGCCAACTCAAGTTTAGGCCATGCTGACGTCGTACACACATGTACGTGCGTGCGAGGAACGGAAGCCGTACCGAAAAAGGTGGCGAGGCTTTCGGCGACGAGCTGGTTCTTGCTGGCGTGCGCGGCTACCTGTCGCAAGAAGGGGAGCAGGCGCTTCAAAAACGCCACGTTGGGTGCTGGCAACGCGTGCAGCAGTTGCCGCAGAGCCGACTCGTTCACCTGCAGTCCCGCCTCGCCTGCGCCAAAACACAATTAGCATTTTTAGTTTTTAGTATTATTATTATAAAAACGAAAAAAAGTAAAATAAATATTCAAATACAGTGATCAGAGCCGTGTGTGCGTGCGTGGCGTTGCTGCGGCAAAGCGTACCTTTTGAGACCGTTTCGATGAGATGAGAGTAGAGATAGTAGGGAAAGACCGGCTCCTCCAGATCTCGCAAATACTTCAAAATGAGACCTGCCAAAGAAAGGAGGGAGGGAGATCAGGACCATCTCGAGCAACCCGGGAGTGGCCACGTGTGCTGGAACGAGGGCCGGTGTGGGAGAGGGAAAGCGCGTACTGGATACGGTGTGGGGATTCTTGATCTTGGCCCACTCGATGTCTTGCTTGGCCTCGATCCGCTTGATGAGCTCCTTCACCTCCTTCTTAGGACCCGCTTCCTGGAACAGACCCGTCGTCTCCAACGCTGCACCACAACACACCACATGACACACACGATACACACGACACACGCACACAGCACAGCACGACACACACGGCGTGCAAGCGTTGGTGATGTGCAGCGCCGGGAGGAGAGTGAAAGTAGTAGCAGGAGAGTAGTGGTGCATGGTACCTCGTTCCTCGATGTAGGCCAGGGCGTGCTCGAAGAAGGGCGGCACGGCGTGCTTGGTGCCCTTCTTGTCGTAGAGGCCCTCCTTCAGCTGCCCGCCGAACACCTTGCCGCCCCGGATGCCCGAGGCCCGCTTGTCCTTCGCGGCAGCCTCCTTGAACTCCTTCTCCCTCTCCTTTGCTGCATCTTTCTCTTTGTCCTTGGCCTCCTTCTCCTTCTCCTTTTCCTTTTCTTTGTCCTTCTCGGCGGCCTTGTCCTTGTCGCCCCCCTTGGTGTCCTTGTCCCGCTCTTTCTCCTTCTTCTCGCGCTCCTTCTTCTCCTTCTTCTTGTTCTCCTTCTCTGACTTGTCCTTCATGTCACCACGCTTCCTCATGAGGAGCTGCCCGCCCACTCTGCTGCCTCCCCCGCCCGACGACGCGTCGTCGTGCTGCATCTTCATAGCATTTTCGAATTTGGCGTTCAAGATGTCTTTGAAGTCTTTCGGTTTGTCGCTGCTGCTCGCGCCATCCTTCTCCTTCTCTTTATCCTTCTTCTTGTCCTTTTTGTCTCGCTCCATGTCTCGATCGAGCTCCACTCGCCCTTCTCTCTATCTGGAGAGTATCGACGTCGGCCCCCAACCCCCCGCGAGCTGCACCCCTCCCCGCGGGCAATGAGGCTTGATCAAAAAACCAAGGCTTGGTTGCCGCCGGCTCGAGGCAGTTCGCAACCTCAAAGATGCGAACGGAGGACGAATGGAGCACTTCGTATCAATGTTGCTTCTGCTCTGAATTTCCGGTTATTATTTTTGCTTTATTTATGCATTTATTGTTTCCACGTCAGCACCACTCTCTTTGTCGGCGGCCGGGTTGAGACTGGCGTAGCGCTGGAGCTGCGAGGCGGTGCCCTCGAGCCCTCCGGTGTGCACGTAGAGCAGGTCGTAGGGCGCAAGGGCCTCCCAGTGGTGGAACAGGGTCTGCCAGGTGCGCGGGGCGTAGATCAGGTCAAACTCGAACGGGTTCTGCTTGTGTTGGTTGTGTCAGTCTCCATTGCGAACGCCGAGAATGCTCGCGTGGTCAGGCAAAGTACCTCAGCGCAAGCCGCGGCCTGTTGCAGCTCTTTCCAGGTCTGGAGCATCGTTGAGCTCGGGCGAGCGAAGCTGTATCGTCCTGTGTTACACCATGACAGGTGCATGATGATGATGATGAGCGCACTTTGGACTCGATCGAGCGTCGGGCTTGCACGTGCGTACCTGGTGGAGGCTCGAGGATGCGCGGCATTCGGTCGTGGGCCGCGCCGCTGAGTCCCTCCATTTGGGAGCGTAGGTAGTCGCTGCGCCCGAGGCACGGCACACACGCAATGTCCACGTCCCTGCTCAGGTGCTGCGCCAGGTAGTACCCCGTCGTCCCTGTACGCACACGACACACACGACACACGACACATGCAATCGTGAGAGAGTCAATGGACCGGTGAGTGTCCAGCGCTGATCCGGCATGTACCAGTCCCTGATGGGAGAACGACGAGCAAGGGCTTGGCGCTCTCGGCGCTCGATGACCCCATCCGCTCCTGTGCGTAGGTGTTGATGTCCAGCGCCACCTCGCGTATACCCTCCTGTGCCCGAGCCCTTCATGTGTCAGCCAAGGCCATGAAGAGGAAGAAGAGAGTACGGGAAGAGGTCCGGACTTCGGCTTGTGGGCAGGCTGCGCCTTGTGGGACGAAGATGGCGCCCTTCTCGGCGCCGAGGGTAGCTCGTCGGCGCTCTGGTAGGAGAAGAAAGATGAGTGTCTCGCCTCTGCTGGTGGATGGGAGGGTACCTTGCGCAGCGTGGGGCTGCTCCTCATTCGATGCAAAGAGACGATCGTATTCGGCGGTGGAGAGGGACACGACTTGCATCCCCAGCTCGAGCGCATGCTTGAGGTTGCCACTGGCGGGCTCCGGCGAAGAGGGGAGCGATTTAGTGTAGTACACGAATCCCATTCGCTTCATTCGGGCCAGTTGCGCCAGGGCCAACATCGCATTCGATTGATAGCCTCCATGCGAGACCAGAAATGAACCGACGGGGTAATCGTCTCGCTGAATCCAATGCTGCAGTTTCCATTTCTTGTTGCCGGCGAAGAGGGGAATGCTGCTGGACGAAGCGTACCACGGCTCTTCAAGCCGAACAGTCACCTTGCGATCGCGCAACTTGAGGCAGCAATAGTTTGCCCTTCGTCGCATGATTTCGGCAAGTGCGCAACTGCCGCTCGAGCCTTGAAACAAAGCGGATATTTAACACCATCGCCACATCAATCATATCCCATCGGCGCATGCCCGCGGGCAGAAAACCACTACAAAAATGGACCTGTATTTGTAATGGATGAGCTGAAAAGGGCACGAATTTAGGCACCACGGTTCTTGGCGAGCCTCTCCTCCGAAACGGTGGCCCACTCCTTGTTCTTGACGGACTCGGGGAGCTTGCGGACTAAATGATGGCCGGGGGGGGGGGATTAGAAGGTAGCGGCCTACATTTCCATCTAAGAATAACCGCGTACCATTGTCCCTGCGAGTCAAGGCGAAGAGGCCCCAGGAAACAAAGATACCGCCGAGAACGCCCATCAGGACGGAGCTCTGACGGACCTCCTGAGCGGGGTCAATGCTGCCCCACGGGGCCTGGAAGCCGGGGCGGGTGGCCCTGTGGTCGAGGGGGAGGGCGAAACGGTTCTTGGTCACTCTAGCGGCAGCACGCGAAGCCATCTTTCTTCTTTGTCTTGAGATTGATTTACTCGGCACAGACAACAGCAGTAATTCGGAGCACAAAAAAACGCGTGTCGTCATTTATTATGAAATGCGAAGCCCCTCCGCACGAAATCTAACTTCAAGAAACACATTTTCTTCACTATTTTCTTTCCCACTTGTCCTTGGTTAATCGAATTTGATAGATCGACAAGATGAACAACACCCGGCGTCTGTTTCCGTCGCTGGTGCGATCTGAGGCCACCCTCTTTTCGTCCGCGATGAACGTGCGTGCTGAAGCGATTTCCGCCGGTGCCCTCCCCTGCTCGAGCTCGGCCGCTATCGTCAGCACCCGCCCCTCAATTTTCGCCGCATCCCAGCTGCCGATTTTCGCCCCCGGTTCGGAGACTGAAGTGATGGCCAACAAGCGTAACCGCAAGGCCAAGAAGAAGCACAGGAAGAGGCAGGAAGGCAAGGAAGTTTCGCTCCGAAGGGCCTAAATGAATTCTGTGGCTGCCGCCACTTTTGCTGTTCTCCCATCTTTACCGCGCTCTTTCTTGCTCTCGGCCGAGGTGGCGTTGGTGGTTGGTCGCTCGGTCACTAGTTCCGCATTCTCGGCAAGCGTGGGGTGCGTGGCTGGCAGTGCCGGGGCGGGTGGTCAGGTGCAAATCGTTACATTACAGGCGACGACGTGGCCCGCTGAGCAAAACTGTGGTGCGGTGATACATCCGATCTTCTTCTTCTTCTTGTCCATCATCGGCGCTATCTCCTGGCCTGGCCTAGTGGATTCGGCTGCTCATCGTCCGGCCGAGGCTTGGCGAGGCCCGCGGGACGACCGGGCTAGCCAGGGAGGCCCGCACCGAGGGCATGTCTGCTGAGGCCGACCCTCCGCCGGCGACCTTTTCCGACGACTCCTTCTTGACGGCGAGCAGGCGCTGCTTTTGGTAGAAGCGGATGATGGTCTTGATCTCCTTGGCCCATTCGGCCTTCATCGCCGGGTTGGGGAAGACGAAGACCGCGCTCTTGGTCTCGCCGTCGCTCTCCGCCTGCACCTCGAACGAATTGTGCACCTCTGCCACAGCCACGCGTTGGTTTGTGTGTGTTGTGTGTCGTGTCGTGTCGTGTGTGTTGTGTGCAGTGTGCGGGGGGGCGCGTGTTTACCTTCGGTGTCGGAGATCTCGATAAACTTGGCCACCTGCAGGAAGAGGAGCAGGGGATCGTAGTATCCCGTGCCCTTCTTCTTGGTTTTGACGCAAAGGAAGAGGTCGTTGAACAGCACGCAGTATCGCTCCTGTCGTGATGGGCGCACCGTGTCAGCCGTTACCACCAATAAATAAATAAAAAGTAATAATAGTAGTACAGCTTTGAGATCGGCACCTTGGTCTTGGACTTGGGCACTCGCACTTCGAACGTGCTCTCGAGCAGTAGTCGCCGCGTCGGCTGCACCAACCCCAGGAACTGTATCGGAGGTAAAAAGAAAAGAAAAGAAGAAAAGAAACACGCGTGCGACACACGACTGTGAGCAGACGACTGGTCACGCGAAGAAGAACAGGAGAAATGGTAGGCACCTCGCCGCCGTCGATGTTGCTCTGGATGGCCATGATCTTTTGGCTGTTCTCGGCCTGTCGCTTGCCCTCATTCACGTACTCCACGATCTTCTCCATCTGCGACAGGGCCTCGCGCAGGCTTTCGTAGTCGGCGTGCTCGGCTGCCGTGTTTTGATAAATCGCCTAACGCCGCGCGCGAGGCATGCGTTAGCTCACACACCAGCGCACACAGACGACTGCAGAGGCCGATCGAGAACCTTCAACAGCAACGGATACTTGCAGAGTCTTTGGATGGGTTTGATGAGATAGCTCTGTAGCGTGAGCCCGCGACAGCGCGGATCGGCCATGCATTCCTATATACACCGCAGCCCCACATCGTTCATTAATGACTATCAATACATCATCGAGACAATAGCAACAACATGTTGTTGTGGGTGTGCGTACGTCGAGGAAGGAGGCGTAGGCCGGGTTCTTGGCTTTGCATTTCGTGTGCGTGCTGTCCGAGTGCGGTTGGTTGGCGCAGTACACAGTGTACATCTTGAAGTAGTGCATCTGTGCAACATCGCCAAATGTGAGCGCCGACACATTCACAAAAGCAACAATGCGAAGATCACCGCATGCAAGGAATTGGGGGTTGGGGGCGGAAGTACGAGGCCGAGGAAGGTTTGGCCGGTGCGGTCACCGTTGGGGTCATCCTTGAGCCCCTTCATGATCTCTTGGTTCACGCCCACGAGCATCTCCAGGTTGGAGAACAGCGATCCCAATTCCTGCAAAAGAAAGAAAAGAAAGAAAATTTAAAACAAAAAAACAACGAATAATGAATAAATAACGAATAATTTTTAATGAACATTTAAATTAAAAATAAAAATAAAAATCACTGGCATTCACGCAATTTTGTGGGGGATATGAAATACCTGCTTGTCGAGCACATTGCGCGAGAGCAGAGGCTTGAGGAAGACCTCGTTGACCAGCTCGAGATCGTTGATGTAGTCCTGCTCGGTCTGACTCAGCTCCCGCACCGCCTCCTGCCTGAGCCGATCCTTCTTCCCCTCCTCCCCTCCGCCATCACCGCCAGCGGCGGCCGGACTCGTCGTGGGCGCAGCGCCGGCAGCCGCCGGCACCGGGCGCCGGTGGATGCTGCTGCCTGACTTGGACTGAAAGGCCGGAATGGACGACGCCGACGACGACAGGATCGATGAACCCTGGCGACCGAGCGGCGGCGTGGGCCTGCCGGACGTCGGTGTGCCTGAGCCCTGGCCCGCCGGCGTGTGATTGTAGACGGAGCTGTACTTCTTGGCGCTGTCGGCAGTAGACTGTTGTTGGGCGGCGGGGGTGTAGGTCGAGCTGCTGATCCCTCGTCGGCTGTTGGAGTTGGTGGAGGTCTGGGACGGGCTGGGCGTCGGGACCACGCTGGCCGGGCGTGGAGGCACCACATGGCGGGTCTGCTGCTGCTGCGCCTCGGCGCCGACGCCGGGTCTGGGCAGCTGGGGAGAGGAGTAGGTCGTCGCGGCGGCGGACGGCGACGATTGCGGGGCGCCGAACGCCGGGCTGCGCGAGGGAAAGGTTGTGGGGAGGGATCGACTGAGCATCGAGTTTGACGACGTCGGCGCCGGGCCGGGCGCAGCAAGTGTTGGGCCGGGCGTCCGCTTGAGCGACACGCCGAAGGGTGATGTCGTGGTAGTGGCGGCAGCTCCGGTTGTTGTGGCTTGTGCCGGCGGTCCGGCTCTGGCTACTCCCTGTGCCGGGGCAGGGCCGCTGCCGCCGCGGGGTGCGTGGGTGGACGGCGGAGGCCTGAACGGCCGGCCAGCGCCGGCACCGTTGGGCACTGGCAGAGGTCGTGCGTTCGGGGCTGCGCGATAACAGAAGAAAAGGAAGAACGCGTACGTTGTCAAAAAACCAAAACAACTTGTTTGAAGAGGCAAACACCTAGTAATCGAGAGGACACGAGTAGAAAATAGCGTTCAAAATATATGTTTTTTAAAAAGAAATAAAAATTGGTAAATAACCGTGCAGAAAAATATGAAATCCAATAAATCAACCTAATCAATAGAAAGCCAACATCAACGAGGAGAAAAGATGCGACTCCTACCTCCAGATGCCGCCGCGACGTTTTCCGAGGCGCGCCCTACTGGGTTGGGGCCGCGAGTTGACACTCCTCGCCTGCATCGGTCTAATGTCAGCATTCCGCAGTATATTTAAAAAATATAGAAAATCACCTTGTAGGGGTAGGCAAGGGTCTGCTCTGGGGTACCACCCCCTGCTCCGCAAATGGTCGCGGGGGGCCTTGGCTCGGTGGTGTCGCCATCATCTTTACAATGTGTATCTTTTAGTTTTTGGGGAGGTAACACCGGACGCAATTTGGGAGGCTCAGGCTTTGATAGGTGATTGGATGGCATTCTCCCGGAAAAGTCATTTTCTTACAATTTCCGTGTCCGCGCCGCACGCGCTTTCTTTGAATCGTGGTAAAAAACCGACAGCTTGGTATGTTACATATCAGCACCGCAACAAGATAACACTGCCTTTGCTTCTCACCATCTTCATACTTGTATATATGAACACCCCGCAGAAGAAAAAAAAAAGAGAGAATAGTTGACAACACTCGGGTAGGAAAAAGAAACAACCACTCAGAGGTCCAAACAGACTGGACGTGACAGGATCCAGTCCCAAAAGCGCCGTGTGAAAAAGGTCAGTGGAAGAAAAATTTTGATCCAAAATTCAATTCTTGGAAAACACAGTCTCTGGCCTCAAAAAGCGCAAGTAACGGCAGAAAAACTTGAAGCCAACGAGCAACATGGAGTGCGTCATTCCAGGACGTAGTGTGAAGATTTTTGCCAAGATCATACATTGCTTGTCGAAGGTGGGTGATGAGCTATTTCTGGAGCCTGCTGCCGACAAGGTACCATTGACTCAGCGTGCTAGAATTACACAGCCTTGCACGAGCTCATCTGTTGCCGTATGAATGCAGTTGGTGTTCCGCACGTTGAATCAAGCGCGTTCGGCATTCGTGGCAATCAATTTCAGCCCCAACTTCTTCGAGTCCTACACCCTCACGTCGGAAATCTTCCCCAAATGCAAAGTGCTCCTCAAGGTCCGTAATCCACAACGCGATCTCGTGCTGCCATCTTCTCTCCATCTTTTGCTCAACATCATATGATTATTATTCTTCTACGTTCCGTGTAGCCGTGCTTGGCGGTCTTCAGGTCCATCACCACGGTGCAGAAGTGCACGATTCGTTTGGACGAGGCCGAGTCGCGAGTCGTCATCGAGCTTCTGTGCAACTTGGGTGCGAAGCTTTCCTCCTCACGCGCCTCCTCTTCTACATGCAGCTCATCGGTCTCTCCCCTCTCCTGGAATGCTCCAGGCATCAAGAAGACCTACCGGCTCACATTCGAAGAGTGCGAGGCACTCCAGGCCGTCTACTCGAAAGACAACTGTCCCAACAAGATCACGTCGCGCCCTCGGTACGCCCTACCCAGGGAGAGCAGCAGAGACAGATCTGTCCCTCTTTGTAGCACAAACGCAAGCATTTGCTAATGCTTTTTGATTTTCTTCTTCTTCACACAGGCTCCTCATCGACGTCGTACAGAACTTTCACAGCGGTTTGGACGAGATATCCTTCCAGATCACCGAGAAGATGTTCAAGGTGAAGAGCTTCATCGACGAAGACAAACGAAGTACGCGCGCGCGCACCGCCTCGCCCAGCAGCTCGCACGCTGGACCGCGTCTCTCAAAAGCCAACTCTCGCTCTCTCTCTCTCTCTCTCTACAGGCCAGCCAAGCAAGATCCTACACACGGAGCTGACCATCGATCCGCGCGACTTTGAGGAGTACTCGGTGGGCACCGAGCCCGGAGAAATCACCTTCTGCCTGAAGGAGTTCAAGGCCCTCCTCGGCTTCTGCGAGGTGGCCGGCCAGCCCATCCACATCTGGTTCGAGCAGGGCGGCAGGTACGCCGAACCTCATGACCGATGCAACTGCACACACGCGTACTAACGCGGTTTCGGTCATTCAGGCCGATCCTGTTCTCGGTGAACTTCTTCAATGCGTTTGACGTGGACTTTGTGATGGCGACCCTCCTCGACGGACAGGGCTCCTCGTCGCAGTCCGACTCCTCGCAGAGCTCCTCCCAGAGCAGCAGTTCCTGTACGTCCTGTGGCCCTCTTGCACTTGATTTGGCCTTGTCGTTCAACTAACGTATGTACTCTCTCCCCGATGCAGCCCAGCAAAGCAAGCAATCGGTACCGGCACTGCTCCACCTTTTCGTTTCACTTCGCTTCGCTTTGCCGCTGACGCGCGGTGTTTATCTCTCTGGCGCAGTATTCGGGGACGCCCTCGGCCACGCCGGCCTCGTCGGCCTCGGTGCCGGCCTCACCCTATTCCTCGCGTGCGCCCACATCGCCCTTCGCCACGCCCACCACCGTCTCTTCCTACCCCGACCGCGACGTACCTCCACCCGCGGTTCCCTCTTCTCTCCCTTGGCTCAGCCTCCACTCACTCCAATTTATTGTGTTGACACACACGCAACACACAACGCGCGTCACCAGGGGGTCAGTGGTATGACGTCGGTTACGTCGTCGATGGTGGAGGAAATTGGGACAGACAAGAGGCGCCGCGGCGAGATGGACAAGGAGGACAGCCTGTCGGCGTCGGCCTCGCCGACTGCCTCGGCCTCGCACCCGCCGCCCTTCCTCGCCGCCGGCATGGTCACCCAGCCGCGCATGGACATCGAAGGCGAGGGCGACGACGAAGATGAAGACGACGAGGAGGACGAGTTCGTAGAAGGCACGCCCCCGTCGTCGCCCCAGCTCACCAAGAGGGCCAGACGAGGCTGAAGCGCCTTTCGGCCCGCGCGAGAAACAAAAGAGGGGAAGGTAAGGCGGCATCGCACTCTCATAATGTACAAAGTTGTAGCGATGACCAGCACAGGCATCGTCGTCGTCATCACCAACAACGAGATGAAGCCGAGCACACTTGCTATTTTGCGGGTTGGACGCAAGCGTGGAGTTTAATGTTGAGGAAGAGCCGCGGAGAGAGCTAGGAGAGGGGCTGGACGTAGCTGGCCGGGAAGTAGCCCTTGCGACCGTGTACCTCGCCCTCCCACCACTCCCCGGCCTTGCTCTTGATCGTCACCACATCACCTGCGCCATCACACCCGCCACCCCCGTAAGGCGGTGAGCTTGAGCTTCTGACAGAAGAGAAGAGAGAAGAGAAGAGAAGGGCACCTTGTCGCAGGGACAGTTCGGTCGGTCGCTCTGGATGGAAGTCGTACAGGGCGCGACACCGTTCGCCCGCGCCGCCACCACCACCACTGCCAGGCCCTGGCGCAGCAGCAGCTGGCAAAGCTCGCTCTGGAGCGCCTCCGCCTGGCGGCGCTGCTCCCCCGCGACCGGGGTGCGGCATCTGAGAGCGGGGTGAGCGATTAGAGCGCGTGAGCCAAACAGTGCGTCAGAAGAATTAGGGTTGACGCGTACGGGTCTCGCTGGGCCGCCTCGCCCGGCACCGCCGCTGCTAGCCTGGCCTGCATGCGTCGGTCCGCTTGGTCCAGTCGCCGCCGGCGCTCCAGGTCCAAACCTGCACAGCATGGGGTGAGCCAAGCGCACACTGTTGAGGTGGTCAAACTGGTGTGACGTGCCTCGGGGCGGCCGAGTCGCGTCGCACCACCGCGCCGCCGCCGGCACCGGCAATGGCGGCACCATATCCGATTTCTGCGCACAGATTTGTGTGGTCAGCCACGGGGTTGAACGGGCGGGTCGAGAAATCGAACGCGTACGACGAGGCTGTGGCGCGGCGTTCGGTGCGGCGGGGCCTGTGATGGCCGGTACTGCTGCGGCCGGCGGCAGGGCGGCGTACTGCTACCGCGCACGAAGGAATGAATGCCCAACGCCCGGTCAGTTGGTGCCCTTGTCACGCATCAAGTGGGCCGAAGGGTGTACGGTGGCGGCGGGCTGGTCGGTGTAGGTGAGGGTCATGGGCGGCAGGCGAGGCCGGTCGGGGGCTCGCGCGGTGAGTGTGGTGAGATCCCGGGTGAGGCTGTCGTAGAGCTCGGCGCACCGCCGGAAATAGATCGCCTGCGCGGCGGCATAGGCCTGCAGCTGCGCCACGTGCTCGTTTTCGTCGTCCTGACTGCATACGCCACCAAGCCCACCAGACATGAAATCCAGTAAATATCTCTTTATAAAGTATTGAAATTAAATACTAAATTATTTATTAAATTATTTGTATGTATGTAGAATAGAGAAATATTCAAGAGTGGCGAACCTGTGCACGAGTCGGTTGAAGTAGGCGGTACGTGACTCATCGAACTTTTGCCTGGCCCTGTTTGCTTTCTCTGCGTCGACACCGATGGTGAGCACTGGCGGGAGTCGAAGAGGGACCGGTGATAGAAACGCATGCGAGGGGGAGGGGGGTAGCGCCACCTTCCGTCTCTCGGGTCTTCTTCGCCTCGTGGTTTCGTCGGGCCGCGTCGTAGTCCAACCGATTGGCGTCGTACCTGGACGCGAAGGAACGCACCAACGCGATGCGGAAGTGCTGGTAAGTTCCCATGTTTCGGCCGAAACCAAGGAATGAGCGGCGAACATGTACCGTTTCTTTAGGTTGAGGAGCTCCCTGAGCTGGCCCTCGTTGTAGCCCTTCAGCGGATCGATCGTGGAGTTCATCAGCCGGTTGTCCTGCATTGATCCGATGGAAACGACCACGACGTGAGATTTCTCGCACCACACAACACAACACACACAGCACACAGTACCAACTCTGAGTGCTCAGCGCCGACCTTCTTCATGGTCTCGCCCAGCTTGGTCACCGCAATGCCAAAGAGGGACTGGGGCAATGCCGCGCACCGCAACGAAGCTGTCAGAAGGAATTGGTTCTACGTTGACGACGTGGAGAGAGAGAGAGAGAAAGAGAGATGTCGTGTACCGTGTACTGGTCGGCCTGCTGCATGGACTGGCCGATGGTGAGCAGGGTCTCGCCCTGCTTCTCCTCCTTCTGCGTGAGAAGCGAAGCCAACGTGCGCGAGTTGAGGTACGTCGTCGACTCTGGCGTCAGCGTCTTCAACAGCTGCTCCGTGGCATCCCTGCGGCATGCGGCACATGGCCGTGTGAGTGCATGGCATGGTACATGACGAGCGATCAACAACGAAAGGGGCCGAAGGAATCTGCCGAGTAGTCGTAGCGCAGGTACCTGGTGGCATCGGCCAACTTTTCGTGCCGCACGAACACCTCGTCTTCGTCGGCCGTGCGCGAGTAGATGCCCACGCTCTCCCCGATCTTTTGTCCCAATCTGTCCAAGAGTTCCATCTTCTTCCCTTCAGCCACGCCTTTGTCTTTTTCCACTTTCTCTTCTTTCCTTTCTGAAGGAAATAAAAAGAAAACTAAAAGAAATGGTTCCTTCCCACGTCGCAGCTTCGAGAAAACGGATGGATAGAAGAGAAGTAGCAAGAGCGCAAGATGGGATTGATAAGGTTGGCCTCGTACCGAACGAGGTAGAGCCCTCCTGGTGGCTCTCTAAACATAACCAGGAGGCGAAAAGGCGCCACTTAATGAAAGATAATTTGATACATTTGCCATCAGAATCACTCCCCCTAGACGTTCCTTTTGCTTCTTCAATCCCTCGTCCGTCGCTAGTAGACTCCGTAAAGCTGCGCTTCAGTACGCCCCTTCCCCCCCTCCCTAAGCCTCAAGCATCAAGACCCTACGTGGCCCCAGTCCGTGGAAGACGGGACCGCTTCAGACGACCGGGACCGGCCCAGGTCCTCCCGGCGACGTTGTACCTAGTACGCGTCGGAACGGGCATGTAGCATTGGACAAGAAAGACAGTAATTGGGAGTTGCAGTACACAGGAGTGGCTACATATAAAGGTGAAGGTGGTGGGCCAGTTGTTCTCTCACTTGCAACTTCCACACACCACCCCTACCTGTACACACCGCCTACCAACATGAGCCTATCCAGGAAACGTGGCTGAACGGACAAGGGCAAGGAGCTCGCCGATGACGGGGCTGATACAAATGAGGACCAGGAGGAAGGAGAGATTGAGGAAGGCCCTCAGACCAAGCGCAACAGGGGAGAATTCGTAGGCCTGGCTCTCCACGCCATTGACAAGTACAGAACCATCTACTTCAAAGGCGTGGACATCAACCAGGTGAATGATGTCCTGGATGACCTCAAGGGAATTGACACCCACTACGAGGTCAGTCAAGTGATGCACAACAGGTTCACCAAGACCATGTCTGTGGTCCTCATGGCTACAGACACAGACAGGGTGACCAAGGCTCACCAGCTTGTGGAGCAGTGCTACAGCGGACCTGGCAAGTTCAGCCCAGAGCATGCTTTTGATGAGAAGGAGGTTGACCAAGCAGCCATGGCCATTCACACAGTCAAGCAGGAAGGCAATCACATCATCTCCAACAAAGACTTTGTCAAGGCAGTCAAGGAGCTGGTGGGGATGGACATGCCAGACAATTTCAAGATGGCACACATCTCCAAGGCAGCCACCCCCACCTGGATCATCAAGTGCCACAAGAAGGAAGTCCTGTCCACCCTCATCAACAAAGGAGGAGCTACCATCAACTTCAACAACTACTTCTTCCAGCCATGGCACAACTTCAGCCTCAAGCCCATCATCATCAACATCAAGCCAGTGCCACCACAGGTGAAGCCAAGCAAGCTGAGGGCGCTGGTCCACAAGCTCTGCAGAGTCCATCTGGTAGACACTGAGTTCATTTGTTGTGACAACACCTACCAGAGCTTTGTCAAGGGCACAGTTGCCATGGAGCAGGACCTAGTGACCATGCTGGAGCATATGAATGTGGAGCTCTTCATTGGCTGCCTGAGTGTCCAGTTCAGGAGGCAGATGTCACAAGAGGAGTTCAAAAAGGTAGCCACACCCCCTGGACTCAGCTACTACCATGAGGTTGCAACCCCTGATCGCCCATCTCTCCTTAGACCAGAGAGAAATGTGACAAGTCTCAGGCCAATGCTGCCAACTTCCAGGCCAACAAGGCTGCCCAGGATGCGGCCAGAAAGATTGAGCAGGCCAAGCAAGCAAGAGCCATCAAGCAGCAGGAGGCCAGAGCTAGGGAGGCAACCACAGCCATGCAGCACAGGATCCAAGAGCACATGGCACAGGCCACATTCCACCAGCAAGACCCCTAGCTGGATGTGGGTGCTAGCATTCTTTGGAGTCCTGATGGCCGCAGTGCTGTTGAGCAGTGACTACCATGACCATGTAGCAAGACCACAGGACCTCTGGACTCGTCCCATACATAAACACTTTACTGCCCTGTTCTACTTCACTACCAAAAAGAGAACCAGCAGGAAAGCTAGCCCAGCTGGGGCATGGACTGGCAGTCTGTCCCTTCCCCATGCATGGGGCCTGCTAATCCTGTTGATTTTACTCTTGTTCTGGGTCCCAGGGGTGAAGGCTGTTGGAGAAGAAGAAGTGGCAACGCCAGGTTTGGTAGCCCTCTTACTGATTGTGTCCTTCAACATTCAGAAGAACTGGAAACAGCTGGGAGATCTGCTTGCCCATGCTAAACAGAAAGAGTGGGGACTACTCATGGTTCAGGAGGTCAGGCTTTGGGAAGAGGACAATGTGAGAACCATCTTGGGAGCAGCAGACATGGCAGGTTTCACCATTTTCTGGAACCTCAAGGTTCGTGCCAGGGCAAAAGCAGAGAGTGCCATTATGGAGGAGTCAATCCAGCACTTCCCAGAACCTGGGGATGAGCATAGATGGTTAAGGTATTGCGTGCAGTGTAAACATGGAGTTTGGGTCAAAGTGGTGGGCTTTTAGTGGCAGTTAGTAATTGTATACTACACCAAGTATAAGTTGACATGCTGGTTAAACCCAACAGTTCCCACAGCTATAGACTGCAATAAGTAACTGTGAGACAGTCTATTAAGAATATTACCATATTTAATGTGTATGGCCCATCAGGCAAGAAGAGTCACAACAACTTTGTAAACCATCACATCTGCCCCCTTGTTGATACCTTTCACAAAGTCCCCTTGTTCCTGGTCAGAGATTGGAATGTCACACCAGCGGACAGTGAAAAGTGGACCAATTATGGCCAAACAAGGGCTAATGATAGAAGGCAAGCCATTCATGAGCTCATCAGGACAAACAAAGTAGTTGACATACACCAGCGGCTCCACCCAGAGTGCAACAAGCACACCTTCTGGCAAATATCCAAACCTGCACAGGGAGATCTGTCTGGCACTGTCTGGATCACAACTACCAGGATTGACTACTTCTTGGCTAATAAACATGCTGCACATGTCACTGGAAGCACAGGCATCCTTGAGGGACCAGTTGAGTCTGACCACTTGCTGGTGACCTTGGCGCTCTGACTTGGAGGCAAGCAACAGGAGGCGGCTGGGCAGGCTAGCAAGGGGCTCCTGACCTTCCTCCTCCAACAAGAGCAATATTGGGCCGCCCTTAAAGGGAGGTTAGAAGAACAGTGCACTGAGGAGTGGACGGCCTTGCTCATTGAACAAGGCTGCACAAACTGCCCAGAAATGGCAGCAGAGCTCAACAGAGCCATCCGGAGGGCAACTGAGCAGGCCCTTCCCAAAAGTGGTAATGGAAGAGCCAAGAAGCCCGGAGACAGCAAGAAAGTTGGCCTACTTAAGGGTAAAAGAAGAGCGCTGAGTAAAGCCGCCAATTCCCTAGCAACGTCCCTACGTTGCGAGGAGGCACCTAGGATTGGGAAGAAGGCCCGCAAAGCGGTGGAGACCGCCGGCGTGTCTATTCCCGTAGACTTCAATAGGGAGCATATCAACTTGGCCTTACACACAGTAATGACTATTAAAAAGGGCCTTACAAAATCCATTGGGTCGGAATTTTATACCAGTCAGAGGCGTGAGATAGGCCGGTATGCTAACGCCCTCATCAAAGCGGGGTACAACGACACCAGGGCCTTCTGGACCAAACTCATGGGCAAAGACCGCCGGCCGCATGTCTTCCGAGAGGTCAGGCTAAATAACGGCGAGTACAGCTCCAACGCCGGGGCGATCAAAAAGATCTTTGCGGAGTGGTGGGGGAAACAATTTGCCGCAGTCCCAGACAACGTGGGACACCAGCCATGGCTGGAGTTCATCACCAAGTGAAAGAGGTGGACAACTCCATGCTCGTACAGCCCATTAGCGAGGAGGAAGTTGTGAAAATGATTGGTAGCTTCAAAGATACAACGCCTGGTACTGACAAAATAACAGCGGGCATTCTCAAAGAGCTGCCAGCCTTCTACGTGGCCCGCCTCGCCCAGATTTTCAACCACTGCCTCCGTGGTGGTGATGTACCCGAGGAATGGAAAGAAGCGGCCATCACCCTCCTGCCGAAGGAGGGTGATCAAGGCGACCCTAGCAACTATCGACCTATTGCCCTGCTCCAAGTGGAGTACAAGGTATTCACGGCAATCCTCACGCAAAGGCTGTACAAAGCTTTTGATGGGCATATACTAAGTGGCCTGCAGTGCGGCTTCCGGCCTAAAAGATCAACCCAGGACTGCATCAGGGCGTTGGTGGACTCCATTGAGGACGCCACCAGACGTAAAAAGGAGCTGCACCTTGTTTACGTCGACATGAAGAAGGCGTACGATAGCGTCTCGCACACCGCCCTCCTGCAGGTCCTCAAGGACTACGGCACTAGCCCTGTTTTCGTGGATCTCGTAGCCCGGCTATACCAGGGGTGTCGGGTTAAACTGAAAATAAACGGTTCCCTCACAGACCCTTGCCCAGTGCGGGAAAGAGCGGGAACGGGGTCGGATGCGGGATCCCAACAACCGCGATACCCTACACATGTGGCGGCTTGGTTTAAAGGAGCTAGGGATTGACCCGTGGATTAGGTTGGCTGACCCCAACTACATCCACGTGGGGTGCTATCAATACAACCCTATTTGGCCAGCGTTGTACAGTGCCGGAGTCTTTAAGTGGGAGGAGGTGCTCGGCACCAGTGCTACCGAAAGGGAAGAGTGGATTGCAAACAAGGTCGCGCCGCTCCAGCTCAAGCAAGACGATGCCGCCGAGCTGGAGCAAGTACGTGATAGAGCCCTCAACCTTCCCAGCAGAGGAGTCGTGGGCCAGGCCAGAACAGTGACCCCGTACGCCATCGGGGAAGAAGATTGGTGTCTGGTACACAAGAACGTGGCCACCAACACGCTTCGAGTCTGGACCGACGGTGGCTATGCGCGAGGGTGTACGACAGCAGGAGTATACCTGGGGGACAGGTTCAAGGACAGTGTCCTGGTCGTGAGAGGGGGGTCCTCGTTTGTAGGGGAATTGGTAGGGGTCCTCATTGCCCTCGAGAAATGTCCTGACAGTTGCAACTTGGAGATAGTCATCGACTGTACTAGTGCAATAGCCGCCATCACCGGTTTCAACGGCTGGAAGCTGGGGAAACAAATGAACACCGAGGGTAGAGGGGTCATTCAGCGTATTGTCCTACTTATTCAAGCGCGAGAGGAACAGGGGTACCAGGTTGCATTCACATACGTACCGAGTCATGTTAATGATAAAAGAGCCCGAGCGGAGGAGGAAGGGGCAGAAGCGCTGGCCAAATGGGAGGCAAAGGTAGCGGCACTGGTGAATCTACACGGCATTGACCTGGAGGTACTCATTAAGGGCAATGTAGCCGCAGACGCCCTGGCCACCCTAGGACGCACCGCGCACTCGGTAATGTACAATAGGTGTGTGCTCACGTCACTCGATCCTGTAGCATTGGTTAGTGTCGATGGCTCCTTAGTTGAAAAAGGAATCAGAGACAAAACGCTTGAAGCAGAAGCGGACGGTAAGTTCCGCCGGCAGGCAAGCCGAGAGTCCAGGGGCGAATACCTTAGGGACACACGCACAAACTACAACAAGTCAGCCATCGCCAGGAGTTATAACAACAGGCTTGTCAATAAATGGGCCTACGCGGCCCGGTTCAAGTCCCAAACACCCAATGCAGAAAAGATCCACTTGTATTGGGAAAGGGACGCCAACAACGCGGGCGTGTGGTACGCCAGGGACAACGGAGAAGAAGAGGCTAGACCTGCTGATTGGATAGTGCGGAAGTCAATACACAGCACAGCTGAATGTCCCCTGTGCACGGATAACGTACCGTGTTGCCCCGACGCCATGCTCATTGTCCATAGGCCGGAGGTGCACAAAAAGGAAATGCACGACCACGTTTATACTTCATGTACGGCCACCAGAGAGATCAGACTACAGAGAGACGTACAGGTGTTAAACACAATCCGAGAAAGCATACACCGACCATTGATGTCGCTTAACGACCTTCCGCTTTGGTTCTCTTCAGACACTAACGCAACTGCTAAGGGGCAGTCCGAAGCCACCCGCAAGCTCCGGGACTACAATATCAAAATGGGAGCGCTCGCCTTTTGCCCGTTAGCCCTCCCGCAAGCCTTGAAGGATCTTGGAGTCCCGCCCAAAAGGGTAGACGCGGTGATACAGGAAGTCCTACTGCACATCGCTACATCGGCCAAAGAAATGTGGGACCTTCGTAAAGCCAGACTTCTCGAAACAAGGCGAAATTTCATAGCAAACAGAGGCATCACCTAAAACCCCGCCTTTTCCCCGGACGCAGGAAAGGGCTTTTGCTCTAGTCCCGTTAAACGGGTTTCTTTCCTGTCCGTAGCAACAACTACTACTACTACTACGTCGCAGCTTCGAAGTAGAAGGAGATGGGAAGGAAGAACGTGTATGCGGTGCGTGCTGGCTACAGGCCTGGCCTGTACTATTCATGGTACCATGTGCCTCCGATGTGCCGTTTTGCTCTGTGGTTCCCTCACCGCCGTTGCCTACCGCTGCTGGGGGCTACGTAGGGAGGAGTGTCGCAGCCAGGTCCACGGCTACTCGGGAGCCGAGTTCAGGGGCTTCAGCACCGTAGAGGAGGCTCGTGATTACCTCAGGTTCCTTCTCCTCGCCTTCTGCTAGCAGATTGATTTCCCAGACCTCACGCCCCCCCTGTGATTGATTTGCCTGAACAGCGGCCGTTGGAACCCGCCCAACAACAAGGACCGGAAGCGCCACAACAACACCCACCAGCCCATAAGACAGCAACAACAGCAACAATCCTTTGCGCCGGCTCATTACAGCGACTCGTACAGCGATGACGATTCCGACACTTACTCAGACTACAGCGATGACGACTACGG